AGAGCTGTGTTCCTGGAGAGGTGATGATGGAAGTCACAAAATAATCCCATAACAGTTCAGAATTATTAATAATAAAAGGCTTATTTAGTGATGAGAAAACTTCCAGATCACTGTCCTAGATAGCAGTCCTCTGCATGAACAGGAACAGAGTCTAGCAGCTGGAAGTGGATTCAGGAGTCAGAAGCAAGAGAAAGACCTCACAGTTTACAGCTGCTTTTTCAGTATCAGAGACCATGCCCAAGTGGACTGGTATCTTAAAAGCTAATGGCCGAAGGAGCAAAATGTTCTCCCTCAGCACCTCCCCCTTATGTTTAAATAAGAAAGTTCCAAACCCAATACAAATCTACATACACCAGGAACAGATATCAAGTATAATTAGAATTACAACAAGCACAAACAATATTAAACAATGAACATATGCTAAATGTTTTAATAAACATATTATCCTAAGGATTCTAAGTCTTGTATAGGAAATATCTTGGTTAGAACATAAGGGTACAATCAAGGACATTGAAGGCCTGAGAAGGGAAATAATATTACTTGAGCAGGAAGGAAGTACAATCAAGTAGCTTCCAAAGCCAGAAATATATGATGGAGACAATTAGCAACCTGAGCAATCACTCAAAGTCTCCTTTTGCAACATTGAAGCAACCAAATTTCACTAAGGCCTACTGCAACTGAGAGACCATTTTCAGAGGCAGGAATTTTTTCAGAATCATCTTACCCTGCCTTGGCAAGATTTGACAGTCTTTTTCCTTGTGTCCTGCTTATCCATTTCTGGATACCATGTAGATTGTCAGTGGTTGAGGTATGGGCAGTTCCTTGCCCAAAGGCCAATGGTGCCAAGAAGAACTCTGAGTAGAATGTCTTCCGTGCATGTCTCATGTCAACAGAACCCTAAGTTATTTAAATGCTATGTCCACAGATCCTTAAAGTGGTTGAAGATTACCTATCTAGACAGAATACAATCTCTATGTATCTAAAGAACCCAATTGATCTGACTCTATGTACAACAAACATTAACAACTAATGACCAATAATATTTAATACCTGTATAACATAAAAACTAAAACTTCACATCAGAATATTAAATAATCTAGAAATAAATGTGCAATAAGTGAGGACAATGACCTCTAAATGTAAACGATGTATAAGTATCTTGATCAGAGGTAGGAGTACTATATAATGCAATATGAAAATATATCCTAAAAGTTATATCAATATACAAAATGTCCTAAACAGAGGTAGAAGCATGCATATATACAATCTGACAGAATAACTTTGCATAGGTGTACAAATAATGTAAACAAAAATAACAAATATCATTTGTATCAATATACTAAATCTATATCAATATAAATTACCCATAAATAATAGCTCACAAGTTTTCACTCTATTACCTATTATCATCCCTTTTTACTTTTTTTTTTGAACAAACATAGTTTTCACCCCAACCCTCTATCTAATACAAGTAATAAGAAAAAAAAAACCCTAAACGGTGTTCCCAACCCTAAGCACAAACTTTTTTGGGATCAGGGGCATCATCCTCAGACCATGCACCAGAACTTAGGTAGTAAGAGAAAACTAAATGGCATGATGGAAGAAAGGAGGCAGATTGAGATAGATGCCATGGAGCCATCCCAGGAAATAGAAGTGCTAAACTTGCTGTTAGGCCACGACCTCATGCTGATGCACAGGTTAATGGATATAGGTTAAATTAAGACGTAAGAGTTAGCCAATAGAAGCTACAGCTAATATGCTGTAGGAAGGTTTATAGCTACTAACTACCAGCCTACTGGGGCATGGCCTCATAGACTTTTTACCGGGATGCCGAAGCACGTCCTCCCCCCCCCTCATCCCCCTAGTTCCTGTTTGCTTGTTCAGCTTGCTTTGGATCTGATCTCCATCCATCCTTAAATCAGAGAAATCTGATTTGTAAATTTTCCCCTTAAATAAATAACTGTTTATCTCTCAGCTCTGAGCCAGTGTGAGATTTCTTTTAAGCACCCAATATCTCCGCCCATCACTAATGGGCCAAGCAGTGATTCAATTAATACAGTTACTGTGTGATTATTTCAGGTCTCAGCTAGCCAGGCAACTGGGACAAACAAGCGAGCCCTCCTCCTACAGAGAGGCCCCTTGGTCTTTTTAAGGCTGACAAGCCTTCCTTAGAAAGCATTCAAGCTGTCACATATATAAATCAATGAGCATGCCATTCTGATCAAAGACTACATGCATGTTTATCTTGCACAGTGACATACTGCATCCTGTCCTTATGACTTAGTCCCTCAGATGCTCACCAACACTTGCCCTGCTCAATTGTTCATCTCAATATTTACCACTCTCATTAGTTGTGCTATTATTTTGTATCTCCCTAATCACTAATGTTGTTCATGATTTTTGTTGGTACCTCTTGCCATTCCTCTCCTTTTTGTTTGGTTATCTGGATGTTTTGTGTGTAAGTGTATGAGAGAGACCATACTTGACATGCCAGAGTGTGCATATGTGAGTCAAAGTCTTGGGTGTCACTTCTCACCTACCTTGTCTAAGACAGGTCTCTGTGGCTGTCTGGACTCCAGACAGAATTCTGGGTATTCATTTCTCTTCTCTCATCTTTTGACAAGAGTACTGGAATTATGGATGCATGCTGCCAAGTCTGGCCATAGATAAGTTCTAGGATTCAAACTCATGTCACAAGTAAATCTCAGAAGCACTCTATGCATTAAACCTTCTTCCCAGACCTTCTCTCTTCTCTTTAGTAGCACATTTACTCAAATAATTTTCCCAATAAAGATTTTTGTTTAGTCTACTTTCTCCTCTATCAGGTTCAGTGTGGTCAGATTTATATTGAGGTCTTTGATCCATTTGGACTTGAGTTTTCTGCATGATGATAGATACAGATCTATTTTCATTCTTCTACAGGCTGACATCCAGTTATGCCAGCACATTTGTTGAAGATGCTTTCTTTCTTCCATTGTATCCTTTTAGATCCTTTGTCGAAAATCAGGTGTTCATAGGTTTGTGGGTTAATATCTGGGTCTTTGATTCAATTCCATTGGTCAACGTCTCTGTTTTTATGCTAATACCAAGCTGTTTTCAATACTGTAGCTCTGTAATAGAGTTTGAAGTCAGGGATGGTAATACTCCGGAAGTTCCTTTATTGTATAAGATTGTTAAGGATATACTGGGGTTTTTTCCATATAAAGTTGATTATTGTTCTCTCAAGGTCTGTGAAGAATTTTGTTGGGATTTTGATAGGGATTGCATTGAATCTATAGATCGCCTTTGGTAGAATTGCCATTTTTACTATGTTGATTCTACCCATTTCAAGAGCATGGGAGATCCTTTCATTTTTCTGGTGTTGATGGAGGAAGGTCATTGGCTAATAAAGAAACTGCCTTGGCCCATTTGATAGGCCAGCCTTTAGGTGGGTGGAGTAAACAGAACAGAATGCTGGGAGGAAGAGGAAGTGAGCTCAGACTCGATAGCTCTGCTCTCTGGGACAGACACAATGAAGCTCTGACCCAGGATGGACGTAGGCTAGAATCTTCCTGGTAAGCGCACCTCGTGGTGCTAGACACATTAATAGAAATGGGCCAAGCAGTGTTTAAAAGAATACAATTTGTGTGTTGTTATTTTGGGTGTAAAGCTAGCCAGTGGCTGGGAGCAGGGTAGCAATAACGCAGCCCGCAGCTCCTACTACATGGTGTCCTCTTCAATTTCTTTCTTCACAGCCTTAAAGTTCTTGTCAAATAGATCTTTCACTTCCTTGGTTAATGTAACCCCAAGATACTTTATGCTGTTTGTGGCTATCGTGAAAGGTGAAGTTTCTCTGATTTCCCTCTCTGCTTCTCTATCCTTTATGTATAGAAGGGCTACTGATTCTTTTGAGTTGATCTTGTATTCTGCCACATCACTGAAGGTATTTATCAGCTGTAGAAGATCTTTGGAAGAGTTTTTGGAGTTACTGATGTACACAATCTTATCATCTGCCAACAACGAAAGTTTAACTTCTTCCTTTCCAATTCGAATGCCCTTGATCTCCTTATGTTATCTTATTGCTATTGCTAGAACTTCAACCACTATATTGAAGAGGTATGGAGAGAGTGAACAGCCTTGTCTTGTTCCTGATTTTGGTGGGATGGCTTTGAGTTTCTCTCCATTTAATTTGACATTAGCTGTTGGTTTGCTGTATATTGCTTTTATTATATTTAGATATGATCTTTGAATCCCTAACCTCTCCAAGACCTTTATCATAAAGGAGTGTTAAATTTTGTCAAATGCTTTTTCAGCATCTAATGAAATGATCTTTTTTTCTTTCAGTTATTTATATGATCGATTACGTTGATAGATTTTCATATGTTGAACCAGCCCTGCATCTCTGGGATGAAGCACATACTGAAAAAAAAAAGATTTTTGTTTATATTAAGTTTCATTTTTGTATTTCAGGCAGGGATTTTCTTTGCAGCCCTGGCTGTCCTGGAACTTGATATATAGATCAGGCTACAACAAATGGTGACTGTCACTAGCAGACCAAGAGAATCTTATGAGAACACCCAAGTCATTTTCTGAGTCACTGCACTGTTAAGGACTGACCTGTAAAAAGCCAGCTGCCCTGTGATAACCTCAGAGGCAACATATTAGGTGAGTAGCTGTGCACCTCTTTTCTATCCTGCCAGCCTGGTGAAGCCTGTGGCTACTTCCATGCTCTTTGCACTTAGAGAGCTCCTGTATTAGTTTCCCAACGCCGCAGTGATTCTGGTGTAGTGGGAGTCAGTGCCTTTAATTTGGGAGGCAGAGATTGGTAGGTCTCTGTGTGTCTGAGTCCAGCCTGGTCTACATAGCAAAGAAAAAGTCTGCAAAGGCTTTCCCATGATATCTGAGTAATCACTGATAGTTATTCTACTCTGAGTGCCCACAAAAGTCATTTCTCTTACTGTCTCCCAGGATCTGAAGATGTCACATGACTCCTGCACAGCGAACAGACATGAGCACAGAGCAGAGCTGCAGGTATTTATTGGAGTCAGATTAAGAGACAGAACAAGAAAGGGAAAGGTGTCTGGATTCCAACATCAGGAAGGGAGAGGAAAGGGCAACAGTATGACTCTCAGATCAGTCATCATTTACCAATAACTTTCGAAAGAAATGCGTCAATTTTGTTCTTGACATCTTGAGTATAATATTGTTTGCATTCTGGACTGTCAGTGATCAAGTGCTGCAAAACAGAAAGGACAGAAGTGGTTACAGTCAAGTTGCAGAACCCCAGCAGGACTCCCCAGTCACCCAAGATGAGGAAGCTCCTTCTGAATAGGGAAGAAAATTCCCTGCAGTGATTTAGGACTCCAGCAACAGACTCTGCCCCAGGAGGAAGTCTAACATCAGCCCTAGCAGGCAGGGATGAATAGAGAAGTTCCATAAGCCATGTTGGGGGCTAGGTCTGGAGAGGGAATACGATGGCTGAGTTCTAGCTTTGAATATGTCTCATAGCTGAGGACATCTGTCAGCACATTTGCTGTGTGTTCATGTTAGAAATACGTCCCGGTGTGGATGTGCTGGAAGAAATCCCTTCTTGGAGAGTGCTGTGGTTTTGAAGGACCTGACACTCAAACTAAAAGTACTTTGGGAAACAGAGAGTGAGAGATGCATCTCTGTAATCCAGCTATGCTTAAATAAGAGACTAAGGCAAACATAAGTGACTGGGGTGAGTAGCCACAAGCACTCTCTGGGTTGGTAGTGGTGGCTTATAAGCCATGGAGGGAGGTTCTGGCTGTGGCTCTGAGGAAGCCGTGGAAGGAGGGCTCCATCTGAGACAGGAGAGAAGAGTTAAGGGAGGCTCCAGAGAAGGTGATCCTGGCAAGTTTACAGGAGTTTCAGGCACCTTAGAGGAGAGCTGAGGGTGCCCTCCCTGTGCAGATCCACACCAAGAACTCTCCTGTGTCCCTGCTGTGCCCTGCTGTGGTGAGAACCCGGCGGTCACCCATCGTTGGGGAGCGCTCTGCAGGACCTTGCATAGACAGACTGGATGTGGACCAGCATACTGCACGGACATGTGCTAGGGTGGGCAAGGGTTGAGTGCTCTGCTTTAGACTCTTTGACACACATGACTAGTTGCCTGCATTATTTGCACACAGCATTCTACCATATGGTTCATGGGAGTGTGGGGGTAGAGAAGAAGTTACCAGCACTATGGAATCCAGGATTTTGGCTTTCAGTCCTGCCTCGTTAAAGCATTCTTGGACTTTATCAGCAGCTTCCCTTTCTCCATTAGTAGGGTGAAACTTGGTAAGGAGGGCATTCATTAATTGCTTGTTTCCAAGGACCATTGTAGTATAGGCCTCAATATAAGGAATGCATGCTTCTGCTGCAAAGACAGACAGAACATCATTAGTGGAACATTAGACTGGCAGAAGTGGAGGCTCAGAGTTTCTTGCCACTTCTACAAATGTTCTAACTTGCTGTGGGACAATGGTTTTACCCTGTAAAGATTTGTTTCTTGTACCTGTTTAATAAAATGCTGATTGGCCAGTATCTAGGCAGGAAGTAAAAGTGGGACATCCAGGCAGGAAGTAGAGGTGGGGCAATGAGGGCAGAAGAATTCTGGGAAGAGAGTCAGTATGCTGTCTTGACCCAGCCACAGAGGAAGCAGGATGTGACTGCCTCACCGAAAAAGGCACCAAGCCACATGGCTAACACAGACAAGAATTATGGGCTTATATAAGCCATAAGAGTTAATAAGAAGACTGAGCTACTAGGCCAGTCAGTTTATAATTAATATAGACCTCTGTGTATTTATTTGGGACTGAATGACTGTAGGACCAGGTGGGACAGAAACCCCTTTCAACATTAATGACCTTCCACAGAGTCCTGCCCTCCCAAAGGCTAATACCTCCCAGATACAGCACACAGTTTCCATAGACACACACTCCCAGAAGAAGGGGGGTGTATGTGTGTACAACCCTGCATTTCTGACATTCACATAAATCTCACACATGACTCAGCTTCAACTGTATATGCAGCTAAGGGTCCATCACCACCACCACACCACTGTCTCCCCATACCCGCCCATCCCAACTATTGTAATCCTAAACAGAAAGCTTCAAGGGTCTTCTGCAGGTCTTCTGGCTAGGGACCTACCAGGGACTCCCTAGATCTTCAAGCAGGTTGGTATGGAAGGGAGATAGGGTGAACAAGGGTCAGAAAGGCCATCAGTTCCCATTCTCACTTGTCTGGAAGCCCAGCTCCCCTGTCACCAGCAAGGCCAGCAGAAGCAGCGTCCCCTTCATGGTGTAGAGTGAGTGGTAAATGTGCTTCTCAGAGCAGATCCTGCTACCTTATAAACTGCTGTCTTCCTGAGCCCAGTCCCGCCCATCTCCATCCCACCCTATCCCCGACCCTGCCTTCCAAAAGTTCCAAATGCCTTTGGGCAAGAACCTGGCACCTGTGGATCCCCCTCCCACTTGCATGGGTGATTGAGCTTAGGAACCCCTCCCACTCTGAAGAGCCAATGGCTGGAGAGACATCTTGCTTCATTAGTTTCTGGACAGAAGTGGCTGTACCTTTGCCAGAAGACGGTTAGAGCTGACCTTTGTAAGCAATCACATGTTGAGCCAAATGATCTATCTTGCTGGCCCCAACTGTCACCTCTACTTCCTGGTCACACTCCTCACCTCTCCTGGCTCCAAGCATGTCCTCCTCATGCTTGGAGGTGGAAACTATGGGGGTAAAGGAGGGTTTCTGTGACTGTAGGCAGCCAACTGCCCAGAACACAGCATCTGCCTGTGTTTAAGATCTAAGAAGAAGTGTCTGTTTCTGAGGGGACATACTGGGGGCACATGGATATCTTAGCTGCTGCAACCTTTGGACTAGACCTCTGAGGACATGGAGGCACCATCTGGAGCTTTTAGTGACTCCCAGCCTGCGTTGTCCCAGTGTGTTTGGTCATTGTGTGGATCCTCAGGGGCTGCATCATGCTGCCACTCCTCCCTCCCCGCCAAGGGAGCACATCCCTGTCACCCTGCACTTGTCTGTCTCACCTCCACCAGTAAGCAGGCCTCAAAGAGGTCTATACAGTAGAGTCAATGCGGTTACAGAAGATAGCAGTAGAGGGAGGGATTATTCCCTGTACCATAAATTCTCCATTGTCCACAGCCTCACAGGCCACTGTGGACTGACCCTGTATAAACTAGAGCGCTCCACTGTCCCCAGGCAGTGCTGTGTGTGTGGACTCTCTCAAGTTCAATTCAACCTACTACCCTCGGAAAAACGTTTGCAACTGGACATTATGTTAATCATTTCTGGAGGCAGGTGGCTCAGCATGTTGCTGGCTAATCTTGATGATGGTCATCCTGACTGGGCTTAGAATTACCATGGAATCAAGGGTATCACGGGGAGTGTTGAGGCTAGGTTATTGATGTCTGACTTTATGTGGGCAGCGTGGACTAGGGTTATGGATGGAAAGGAGAAAGCAAGCTGGGCATTCATGTCTCTCTACTTCCTGACTGTAGATGTGATCAATTTCATAGAGTTCCTGTACCATGCCTGCCCCACCCTGCCTGCCCCACCCTGCCTGCCCCACCATGCCTGTCCCATCATGCCTGTCCTGCTGTCATGGACTTTATCCCTGTTAACTGTAAGCAGGAAGCTGCTTCTTATCCTGGTTTTGTCACTAGCTCACTAACACAGTAGTAGAGTGTTTCTTTGCATGTGCAAAGCGCTGAGGATAATCCACTGCCCCTCACACAAAAATGGAGTGGCTAAGGAGATGGCTCAGTAAGGAAAATATTCATTATGCAAGCCTAAGGACCTGAGTTCAGATCCTCGGGACCCTGTAAAGAGGTGAATGTGGTGGATGCACCACAAATCCCATGGGAGTTCCAGGTTCAAAAAGAGACCTAGTCTCAAATAAAATAAAATAAAATAAAATAGGTGGAAGGCAGTTGAGAGAGCTCAGTGATTAAAGATGCTCACTGATAACCCGGTGACCTGAACCCACGTGGTGGGAGAAGAGAACTAACTTCTGCAAAATGTCTGCTGATGTTCACGCGCGTGCATGTGCGCACGCGCATACACACACACACACACACACACACACACACAGGAAGAGAGAGAAACACAAATAATTTGTGCAGAAACTGCCACAAAGAAGCCTAAACAAGCTCCTAATGGTCAAACATTAAACATTTGAGCAAAAAGACTAAATAACATTTGCTGTGGTCCACAGGAATCATGAAGTGAGATTTCAGCTGATAGAACAGAAGAAGGGTTTCCCCTCACCCCCGCCAAGAATGAATGCATTCTGATGGAGATAAACCCAGTTCGCAAGGCACTGGTCCTACCACCTTTTGCATATCGGCTGATTCCTTCTGTAGATGTCTTGTGAAGCCATGAGCATTCACCCTTGGGGCAAGATTCAGCAGAGTACGGATTACTGGGCACAATTCTGTCCCATGTACTGATATATTGGGCCATCCCAACCACTCCATGGGACCTCCTGTGGGAAATTTAGTCACACAGTCAGTAACCTTGGTCCCCACAGTCTAATCTCTGCCTCATTCCCTGAGATACATTAATAGCCACCTTCTTGTCACCATCTTCCATTTGGCAAGACACACATTCAGGAAAAGTCTTTTGTATAGATCACATTTGGGACCTTCAAAGGCAAAGGGACGTCCAAGGTCAGAGAACTGCCTGTTTTGTGTGTGTATGAACTGAAACCTTTACAGAAGAAGAAGAGAACAGCAGCAGAATGAAGAAGCTGATGCAGAAAAGCATGCAGTGGAGAGTTCATTTCGCCCTCAGCTCTAAGTCCTGTACTTGCTGTGAGTCTTTTTCTGAACCAAAAAGGGGACACTGAGGCTGGCACTCAGAGGTACCTGATAAACCTCATATTGTAATATAGTTGTGAAGTAATAAATGGATCCATGCTAGCATGAATGGTTGGATGAGCAAATAAATAAATAGGATTGAAACATGGTGTTCTTCCAAAAGAAATCATTAGTATTTCTAGGTACTCCTCTGGGGAGGGGAGTGTGCTTCCTTCCGGTCTTCAGTGTGAGCACACGTTTCCAAAGACAACAGCAAGGGGTGCTCAAGGCAGGCCCAGTCACTAAAGTGCTTGCTGTAATTGAATACTTCAGTTTCAATCTCCAGAACTCGTGAGGAAAGCCAGACACAATGGCATACCCTGTAATCCCAGCCTTAGGGAGTCCACCACTGCGGATTTCTGACGGGCCAATCTAGCCAAATTAGAAAACTCCAGGTTCAGTAAGTGATCCTGTCTCAAAAAAATACAAGGTGGTCAATTGTTAAAAATACTGAGTACCCACATGACCGCTAACAACCATCTGTCACTCCGGTTCCAGAGGATCTAACATTTTCCTCTGGCCTCCACAGGTGCTGTACATAGATCATGCAGGCTAAATCTTCATGCACATAAACAGAAATAAAATATTTTTTAAAAGCAGAAATATGTATATAAAATATGTATATGTGAATATATGTACTCGTACACAAACACACAGATGTAGGCACACATATGTACGCACACATTTTGATGTGGTGGAGTGGGACTGAAGGCACCTGATGGTCTGTCTCAGGCTACCATGTGCATACGCATATGGATGCCATGTGTCCAGTTAAGACTACTATTGTTCATCCAGGAGTGGTTGTGCACACCTTTAATCATAGCACTCAGAATACAGAGATAATAGGATGTCTGTGATTTTCAGGTCTGCGTGTTCTACAATGTGAGTTCTAGGAAAGGTGAGGCTACACAGAGAAAATCTCTTGAAATGAAAATAGACAGAAAGAAAGAAAGATAGATAGATAGATAGATAGATAGATAGATAGATTACTATTGCTGTGATAAAACACCATGAACAAAAGCTCATTGAGGATAGGGTTTACTTGTTTTATATCCATATACACATTCAACATCAATGACAGGACAGGAACTACAGCAAGTCTCGAGTATGGAGGGAGGCCTGATGCAGAGGCCATGGAGGAGAGCTGCTTACTGATTTGTTTCCCAAGGCTTGCTCATCTTGATTTTTTATAGAACCCATGACCTCCTGCCCAGGGATTACACCACTCACAATTGGCTGACCATCCCCCACTGATCACTAATTAAGAAAATGCCTGCCCAGGGGCTTGTGGTACATGCCTTTAATCCCAACATATGGGAGGCAGAGACAGAGCTATAAGTTCAAGGCCAGGCTAGTCTACAAAGAGAGTTCCAAGACAGCCAGGGAACTGCACAGAGAAACCCTGTCTTGGGGGCGGGTTGGGGAGAGACAATGGATGCCTTACCAGCGTTCCTGAAGTCCACATATAGGAAAGCATTTGTTTTTCTTTTTGTTTGTT